AATTAAAACCGAACAAAGGTCGTAATCGGCTGCCTGCACAAAATACATTCTCCTTCCCGTTCCTTTCTCGTCCAAATGTTCACCTCCTATCACCTCCACAAATCTAAGTGACTTTATAAACACCTTTAACCGCCAGGCAGTCATTAAAGTTATCAAGAAGAAACTAAAAGACTCCAAACGTGACCAGAGGTACTTTAATGGCCAACCCAGCTGGCCAAATAGTGGCGCAAAGTTTAAAAGTGAAAAACAAAAAGGCTAAACTGATCAAGAGAGTGGTGATCAGACCGGCTCTAGTCTAGTCTGGTCAGAGTCCAGTTTCACAAGTGAGCAAACAAAAAACAGAGCCAAAAGCTAACGAACTGCCCTTGAAAAAAAACAGAGAGGGCAAAAAAACTGAATGAATGAATGAAAGTAAAGTAAGGAAAAGAAAGAAAGAAAGCGTTGTTTTCTAACAGGGCTCAATTGTCCCTGCCAGGTAACGCTCAATCTAAACAAACTTAAATAATGATCCAGTAGTAGTAGTAGTAGTAGCCAAATGTGGGTGGCTAAAAAAACAGTAGCCGAACCTTAGAAGATAGCCAGTTGGCAAGTTAAATATTTAACTTCCACAGACACACGTTAGCACTACTACTGCACTTGGATAAGCTGCTGCTGCTGCTGTATGCCAATGGGAAAAAGCGGCCCGCCAAATGTCGCCCCCTCCCTCGCTCAAATTCGCTTTCCACAAGTGACTCTGATTGACACCAAAAAAACTCGTTTGACGGCTTAATTCAGCCTAAACACGCACTACGCGTGCACACAACTGCTTTATATTAAGAAGAAGAAGAAGAAAGAGTGGAGTAATAATAATATTATATTAGCACACAGAGACACACGACAGAGACGACAGAGACGATCAAGTCGATGATGATGAGCTGCTGCTGCTGCTGCTGCTGCTTTATGACAGCAAAAGCAAACAAAAGCGAAAAGTGACAAAAAGGCAAAGAGGAAGTAGGGGAAAAAGTGTCGAGTGCTAAAAAGCAGGCGAGTTAATTTTTTCCTTTGAAGGAAGGAAGTGAACACTTGTTCACTTTTTTCCGAGAATTTGTAACCAATATATAAAAGCAGAGCAGGAGCAGCTGCAGCAGTGTAAAATTTAAACAGCAAAAAAACACTGCAGGCAAGCCTCTCAACCGTTTTTTTTCTATTAGCACAATTCAGCGAAACCACGGACCAGCTAATCTAACAGCAAAGCAGCTCAAGTGGAGAGAGCTACTCCAATAGAAAAAAGAGCATATAAAAATATAAATCAGCGAGTAGCTTGGGCGGCAATAAAAAGGAGACAGAATTGCTGGGGCATTTCTTCTAGAATCCTCTTTCTCTAGTTATCCTTCAAGGAACATATTCCTTTCCATCAGACTAGACTAAACTAAACTAGCCGATTAGCCAACCGCCTGCAGAGAGTTCACTCTACCAGTGTTCAGTAGTAGTAGTAGTAGAAGAAGTAGTAAATCAAAACGTTGGACTCCAAATGTGAGCTCCAAATGGTCGGGTCGTCTCCTCTTTAAAATGAGTTTTTAAATGAGCATCGATTAACAAACGAGAGAGAGAGAGCAAATGCACCCCAACCGTTTAAACTATACACGGTGCAATTAAACTGCCAAACACAGTTTTCTAGACAGTGCTCAAACACACTGCTGTGTGCGTCACACACTGTGAAACATTTGAACGCACTAGATGGCAAGCAAAAAATGTTGAAACCAGACTAAAAGTGTGTGCACAGACAGTGTGTAAATGTGCCTGTGCCCGACGATAACCTGCCGCAGTTTTACTAATGGTGAGGAGCACTCAGCTCAGTTTCTTCAGTTGCTAAACAAAAAGGCTGCCACGGTTTCAAAAGAGCTCTTCCTTTGAGAGCGGTTAAATAGAAAAAGAAAACCTTTCTCGCTCAACTGACAGGTGAGCAGCAATTGACTAGGTATCCGCTTTCAACTGCTGCTGCTGCTGCTGCTGCTGAAAGGTGAACGGGAAAAAGAAAAATCCCACGTGTCCAATCACTGAAAGAGAAAAAAGAAGAGAGGCTATCAAAAAGGAAAAAAATCTAGAAAAGTTCTCTTGTTTTTATTGCAGCCAAAAAACGAGCAACTCTTTTATAGACAGGCAACAATCCTTTCACAAGCAAACAAACAAACAGAAAACTAACCCATTTCAATCGTCCATTTGCTCATTCACTCATTCATTTATCCTTTCTTTCTCTCCATCTTGACAGCTAAACACAACAAACAAGTACAGCAGTACAACGAAAAACGGACAAACAAAGGAGTCGATACGAATTGAGAAGAAAAAAAAGTACATTACAGCAACAACATGAAACACGGCGGCGGACACCTCGCAAACAATCGCCCAAACAAGGGCAACGAATCTTCCCAGTTCACAAGGACAACGACGGCGGCAAAAATAGCAGCAGCTGAAATGGCAGCCAACCCCAACAACACGTCCAGCAGTGGCAGCGGTGGCCATCGACTGCCCAGCTGCAGGACTTCGAACTTCCGCCGGTTTCAACCGTGGCTGCTAGCCAGCAGCGCCAGCCTCGCTCTAGCGCTCGTTCTGCTGGCCGCCACGCCCACTGCTTCTGCGGCATTCTTCTTTCGAAGCGATCCATCCTCTCCCTCCTCCTCCTCCAGCTCCTCCAGCTTGTCCTCTTCCTCCTCTTCCAGCACCGGAAACGGAAACGGAAGTCCAATGCTGGAGGGCTACTCTGCCCGGGCCGGGCAGCTGGTGCTCCTCGAGCAGCAGCAGCAGCAGCAGCCGCGGCAGCTGTCCAACAAGCCGGTGGTGCTAGTGGGCGGAAAGGTGGGAGGTGGGCAGAAGGAGGCCGAACAGCCGATGAATCCCAATGAGGTGATCATCGGTGGTGGTGAAGGAGCTGGTGGTCCTCGAATGCTGGAGCCACTCGCAGCTGAGGTCGCCGAGCTCGAGGACCTCGAGGCAAGCGCGGCCTATGATGACTTTGAGAAGCGCGCCAAGTGGAACAGCATGCAAGGTAAGGGAGAGAGAGAGTGCAATTTTTGGGGCTAAATTGAAACTAATGATCTCTCACTTTTTCGATTCGATTACAGGCGGCTGGGGAAAACGAGCGCCCAACAATTGGAACAAACTGTCTGCCGCTTGGGGTTAGTAAAAAGTGTGCTTTGGTTGATAGTTTTTTAGCCAACAGTTTTTGAAAAGGGGAATGGTTGTGCAAGAGAGAGAGAGGCTGCAAATTTTCGACAACGCAGAAAGATAAAAAAGGGAATTTCACAAGAACTGCATCAGTTGTGACGTGAGTTAAAAGCAGTGTAGGTAAAAGGGGGCTAAACTGTAAAAGCAAAACTGTAACACTGTAGCAAGGTACAAAACTAATAAAACTAAGTAAAAGTTGTGCACTGAAAAGTGTCAGAGAAGGAGAAGAAGGTGAAGAAGAAGAAGAAACGGCACGGTCAGTCATAATCAACTTTTTAATTACTCATACATGGCCAAAGAGTCTGACTAGGCTGGACAGTTCAGACAGTCAGACAAATGTGAACACACACGACTGCCAAATTTGTGTGTGTGCGCGCTATTTCAATTAAATTACCGTTTTGCTTTAATTGAAAAATGCAAATGCAAATGACTACACTGATGGTGATGACCAACAGTGGGACAAACACACACAAACAGTGCGACTACCACCTTCAAAATTAAATTGACACTGAGCTAGAGCCTCTTTTTCTTTCTCTCTAAATTAAATTTAATTGCTAAATTAATTAAGTGCACCCAAGTTTGATGACACACAAACAGCAGCAGCAGCAGCAGTCGAGTCAGACAGTGACGGAAGTAGTGGTGAAAGTAGTGCTCGTACGTGAGCTTCCTCTAAATATCCAATAATGAGAAGGAGACGGTAAAAAAAGAAAAGAAGAACAATGTCTCTAGTGGCCCATAAGGAGTTTATCGAGGCTGTCACACTATTAAATCACAGGTCCACCTAATCCACCAAGCAAATCAGTAGAGTTGGGGGAACAGCAAAAAAATTATCATCATTGCCAATCAAATTAAAAGAGGAGGAAAACTCTTTTGCTTTCCTCATTAAAACTGAAAGACAGTGGATGAGGCGGAAAAAAATTGAGACAAACAAAAAAATGGCAGCCGCTAATTACAGTGCCGCTCCATCAAACACCCCAATGAACAAAATTTCTACCCCTAAATCAGCTTTTAAAATAATTTTAAAAAATCGAAAACTAATCTAGATTATTCTCATTTTTTATTCACCCTTTTGCAGGCAAGCGTCGCCTACCAAACGCCGGCGGCGGCGGCGGCTCCAACAGCTGGAACAACCTCTCGGGAATGTGGGGCAAGAAGCGCGCCAAGTGGAACGAACTGTCGGGCATGTGGGGCAAGCGCGCCTGGAAGGACATGCAGGCCGGCTGGGGCAAGAGTACGAGTGCTATTAATTAACTAATTAAAAGCGATCAAACTTTACTAACAAAAGTCTTTTGTTTTAATTTGCGCAGAGAAGCGCTCCGGCAACTCTCCCCACTGGAACAAGCTGCGCGGCATGTGGGGCAAGCGAAGTGCAGTCTAAGGGAGGTTGTCAACAATTCTTAAACTTTGAGAAAGGCTGCAGAGGACTGTTGGACGGCGCGCACACATGTTATGACATCATCATCAACGACAACGAATACAACAACAACAACAAAACCAACTAAGCCAGCAAACGACCACAACATCACATGATCAAACAAAAATCGGACAAGGACAACCACCCACCCACCCACACACACCTACTTTTCACCTACTTTTCACCGGCACAAAGCACACACACACAAACATGTTCTCTCTTTACCTCCTCTTGCACAGAAGCACAAACTCTTTTTTTTCAACCTTCTTATTCTTCTTCTTCTTCTCCTCTTTAATCTAATTTTAAGGCACACACACACAGAGACATTGCATGCGTCAGAGTACACACCCCCACACACAAAGGCACAAACACGACCTAAATCATCGTCATTTTCTTCCCCTCCTCACCTTGCTTCTAAGAACTTCAACCGCAGCAGCAGCAGCAGCAGCAACAGCAAAAAAAGAGGTTATATTAATAGGTTCTTGCAGTTCATTCTAAGAAAGTGCCCTCCCGGAGTAGCAAGGAAGGGAGCAAGCAAGGCTAATCTTTTTTCAAATCGAGGGCAACCCCACACACAAAGCACACCAGTCATCATTATCATCTTATTCTTCTTTGACCCAGCAGCACACAACAGGACAAACTGACCAACCAACCGACAGAGACAGAGACAAATTAACCCACTTACACTCCACCACCATCACCACCACTTATCCTTCAGCGGCGACAGATCAAAAAGAGATACCTTCATTTCTTCGTTTCCTTTTCTTTTTTTCCTCTATTTCTGTTATTCTAATAATACCTAACCTCCTTCTCCTCCTCCTCCTCCTCCAACACACATTCACACACCACTGTTCCGTTAATATTAATTAAATAAAAATATAATGCAAACCTTAAAAACTCTAATGCAACGGTATTTAATTGGGTAATTCAAGTAAAAGAAAAAGCTTCAAAAAGTAGAGATCACAAGACACTTTTAATTTGTGCCATTTTCTCTCGCTTTTTTCTCACAACCGCCAGCGGCAGCTGTTGTACTCGGTTTACTTTTGCAGTCTCAGAAATTGTAGCTGCTGCTAGTTTAACCGAATGAAAAAAGGGAGCACAATGGAGAGAAAAATACTGCCATTTGCAAAAATAGTCGGTCAAAAAATACGGAGGCTGAAACTGATGCGCCCTAAAATAACTTTTTTTGAGGGAATAAAACGTGCACACACCACACCTTTGTATTGGCATTGTTCAAACGAGAGAAATTCGCCATTCAATTTAAAATCGGCAGTCAGGCGAACATCATATCAAAAAATTAGATCAGCGAGTGACAACGGAAAATGGGCAAACAAAATTTGCCGATACGCTGATTGGCTGTGGTTGCCCACTATGTAGAGTTCAGTAGAAAAGGTAAAAAAGGTCACTGGCACACAAACACACTCACTGACAGCTAACTAAAAGTAATAAAGTAAAAAGTCTCGCATACTACCAAAAAACCACAACTAAGCTGACTAAAAAAGCTTAGAATAAAAAAAAGTGGCACCTACTGTGGATGAGATGAAGTGTAGCACCGCTTTTGTCGGAAAAAAGCCAACTTTGTTCCATTCAGGGGCAGTAGATGACGCCTTGAGCTTGAGAACTGAAAGAAATAAAAAAGCAGAAATTGAATAAGTGAAATGAAAATTGTAACAAGTTAAAGTGAAAGAGGGATACTGAGACGGACAACACGCAGGGTTGTCCACCCCTATAACTAAAGTCGGCTAAATTGCTCAGATTTGATTAAACAAAAATGTAGTAATTTGTGCATCTTTCATAAGGCAAAACCGTAGTTGAATTCGTATCCAAACCAAACCAAACACTTCTTCACTTGAAACCCATCAGGCGGCAGCAAAACCGCGGTAGCATCCGCAAAAAAACAGACTAGAACCACAAAACTACACAACACAAAAATGGTAGGAAGCCGCCACCAAAAAGTTCCCCACTTGGCGGAACACAGACCTAATATCCCGGTTCTTCTGAACTAAAGCACACACTCCACACAGCAGAACTAGCCTTCAAATCCTTGTGCCACCACCTGTGGTGGCTCAACATGAGCCCCTTCCTTGCCCACAAAGAGTAAATCATCATCATCAGCCCCTCATAAATAACCATTTGCAGAAGGCAATATCAGCAGATCTGCAGCAGCAGCAGCAGCAATAACCACACCAGCGGCAAATATTGCAATATTCATACTGTTGATTGATGTGCGGAGTTGCAAACAAAAGAGAGATAGATAGAGAGTGTTTCCATTCATCAAAGTAAACAACCACTTGATTAGGTTCTCCTCACCTGACAGCTCTCACTAAGCCTCTCCCTCTGCTCAGTCAGCCTATTTATTCCAATTAGGAGCAGACCTCCAATACCAGCTACCAGCTACCTGCTACCTACCTAAACTGGCACAGTCTCAAAGTCAGACAGCCAGACATAGACACCGAAACAAACTAAAGCACACTGGCACAAGCCAATGAATGAAATATTGCCTTCACAAAGCCAACACAGGCGTAAAACCGATAGGCGAAACTAAATCCGCTCAAACACATCCCATATTACACTCCCTCTTTCTCCCCTTCTGACGTACACAAAGTATTTCCAGTGAAAAGGTGAAGCACTTAATTAATCTACTCTAGGTCGGTAGATAGGTATCGAGTCGATTGAGAGAGAGAGAGAAAACGGAAAAGAAAACGTACTTCCACTCAACAATGATACTGGGCCAGCAGCAGCAGCAGCAGCAGAGTTCCCTTCTTTTTCTCTAAGCCAAAAAGTAGATCAGCATCAGCCCGACCATCTGGCCACCAGCACCATAATTTTAATCGCCTCTGTCGTATTTAATTAAAGTACCCAACAACAAACAGCCGCCGCCGCGGCGCTTAACGTCTCCCAAGTCGATGCTCAATGCTGAATGTTGGTGCTTCTGCTGCTGCTGCTGCTGCAGTTATGAATAAATTAATCTCGCTGGCTGTGTTTCATCTTCTAGCAGAAGCAGTTGTTATTGTTCATGTTTTGCCGTGTTTTGAAGCTGACAAATACTCACATAAAGACAAATACACACACACACACACAGAGCGACTACTAATTTTTACGCTGAAAAGAGTAGAAAACTGAACAAACAGAATCCTGTACAGTCCAGTGGTCCGGCGTGAGAAGCAGCAGCAGCAGCAGCAGCAGAAGGACAAAAGGGACCTCCGCAGTGGCCGTAAATTAAAACGCCAAATGTCATATTTCAAAATGCCAAAATGTTTTAAATGTTCGATTCGATTCGGAAATAACGGCTGCAGCAGCCGGCTAATGATCAACTGTGTAACTGAGTTCACAAATTGTTCCACTGTTTTGTTGGGGTGCATTAGCAGTGGGAGGACGACCATTTTCTAAAAGGTAATGGCCAGCACCGTTGAAAAAGGGTAACAATAACGAGGGAGAGGAATATTAGTACAATCTTTTGCACCTAAACTGTGTGTAGTCTTGTTAGTGCCCGATGACACACACCGTTTTGAGGAGAGGAGAGGAAAGTTCCCAAGTGTGTGTGTGTCTGTGTCTGCAGTGCATATTCAAATAGGTGTGCTGCAGAAGATAAGGCACAATAGGAACATATAAGACATAAGACCCACTTTGCAACTGATCAAAAGAAGGAGAAAAAAAAGAAAAAGAAAGAAAAAAAGAAAGAAAAAGTGTGCGTGAAAGAAAAAACAGACACTCTAGGCTAATTTATGCAAATGAAAGAAAACTAGGCGCCGGACACTTTCGTCACACAATTGAGAGAGAGAGAAAAAAGAAAGAGCACTTGAGAGAAAGAGTGTGTGTTTTTACCCTTTTTCCAGTGTTCATTCGCTAAAAACACCGAAGAAGATGCAACGAGCAAGCAACACAGCATTGGAAACAACAAACTAAAATAATCAAGAACACTTGAAATAGTACTGGTAGTAGTAGAAACTCTGCTATTCTTAGATACAGAGTGATCGAAACAGAGTTGTGTTTGTGTGACAATGTGTGACAAAAAAACAGTTTGCTGCTCGCCCACTCAATTTCACCTCATTCTCCATTCTTTTTTCTCTCGCTTCAAAAATGGTATAAACATCCAAACTGAAACAGAAGCAAAGTGAGGACACGTCAATAAATTCGGTCCAAGTAATTAACTCTCTCCACTTCTTAGGGGCTCCTTAGGGCGGCATTTCACAGAGTGGCACACTGCATTTCATTGCTGTTGCCGCAATTTGCCGATGCCGCTGCTGATGCAATTCAATTGAACGTCAGTGCTAATTGAAAAAAAGGAAAGAAAGCAAGCAACAGTGAAACCATCATCAATCGTCATAAACAACCGAAGAGGAAAGGAAAGAGAAAAGGAAATTGAAAGTGAGAGAGGCTGGCGGCAGTAATGAGAACAAAACTGTTGATTAGCACCGTTGATTGCAATCAACGACGGTTGTGTGTGCTCGTGTTTTAGGCTGGCCGATTATTAGAAAAAGAGGAAAACAGTATAAACTAGCAACAGCAGCAAAATATCAATCGAAAATCAGTCCCCTTTAATTGCCTTTCCAATCAGTTCTTTCGCCCAGTTTGCCACCACAAACAGCTAATTAATAATTGATTAGCATGTCAAATAGTGGTGGAAAAGAGAAACTAAATGTGAAAGGCAAAAGAAAAGGGCAGACAAGCAGGCCCATTTATTTTTGTCGAAATAGGGGCTAGATTTGAGAGTGGAGAAGGGAAAAAAGAGAACTGCTCATCTTGGAAGCCGCAGTTCACAATGATGACATTTAAGTGAGTGAGTGAGTGAGTGAAAATGAATGAAATGAAAAATGACGGGAAAAAATAGTGGGCCACTTTTTTACTGTTCACTATTTATCGCGAGATGATCACGCATCCTACTCCTCATCTTCCTCCTCCTCCAGTTTTCACTGGAAATTGACTCCTATCCATCAACAAAGTGTGTAAATAATATAAAATTG